GGCAGCTAGCAGTGAATTTGATGTATATTCAATGGTTCAAGAATTTTACATAAATATAAAATCCTGATTATGAAAATAATCACACTATACAAATTCAGAACACTTTGTAAACTCATTCAAGCCTTCATGTTTCTTGCATTTAATAAATCCTTTAGAGAGGAAACATCCCACAATTCCACAAGTCAATACTACAAGAGGTGATAAGTCTTAACTTACCAATACAGAGACTAATCCATTAGTGCAGGTTACCAGGTCCTTAAACCTGCTGAATGCATGAACACGAAGGGCCAGAAACAATAGCCATCCAAACCTATAATAGTCTGAAATGCTATCAGAGGAGAAGGTGCTTGCATCAACAACTTCCTTATCAGCTTCATTCGTCTTGAAAAATTCTTGGTATGCTCGCTTGTAGTACCTTAAAGAGACATGACACAGCAATTAGTCCAAATCAATATCTAACAATAAACTTGTTCAAGCAAATTCTGCAAAATAGGGTGAGAACATGATGAAGATTCTAGTATAAAAGATTATAAGGTAACTTAACAATAGGAACAATTGATTCCAAAGGGTTCATTGCATAAATGATAAATGTCCCCAACACAAAATCCAAACTGGAATTTTGACCTCATCATAATGATAGTGCATATATGCTCATTCACAATGAGAGAAGATTAGAAATGCTACATAGTGCATGTATGCTCTGCTATGCCAAACATGATATCAATAACCACAGTACACAGTACCACGAAGTAAAGGCTGTCCCCTCTTCCTAGTTCCCACAGTTGTATTTAGAATGGTTTGTATCAGTACCCAATAATGAAGAAAGCTTTTACTATTCTCAAGTGTTCAAATCTGTCTTAAACTCCAGTCAGGGCTTATCTTCTTAGTTTTCCCCTCATACAGCTTACATTATTTGAATTATACCGGTGGCATCATCAGTTTTGACTTTTGAGAGCATTTAGACGTGGTAGACAACTAAAAATCTGCATACAATTTAACTCTCAATTCAAACACAGACAGTTTCAAAAGTAATCATTGCCTAAACAAATTTTAAAAGTCCACGGATAAAAAAAGGGAATAGATAAGTTTAAGAAAGGCCAAGAATAAATAAGCTGCACACACTCTAAATGGAAGATGGCCTAAGAATAAATTTTGACACTTCAAGCTTCAACTCAGATGCAACCCTACCATGTCTGGGGAGTTCTTTTGACTTGACCTTATGTCACAAATTTAGTTGTTGACAACATTAATGAGGGAAGATATGAAAACAAATATTTTTTGGGGTATAAATGTCCGCACAGTATTCTAAAGAGTTCAAAAAAAGAGGCAATTAACATCAATGACTTAATGAGGGCAAATAAGTAAATAAACATTTTAGAGGATATAATTATCTAAACACTATTTATAAGTGTTTCCTCATACTATTTAAAAGGTAGGAGTATAAGTAAAAAAAAAATAATGGAAACAACGAGAAAGCTTATGGTAGGACTCTGACGTTTAACAGCAAGTCTTTGCCCATTGTAAAAGCAAATCAGATAAGTAAAATAACAGTTTGCGCTACTATGTCAATCTTGTCATAATTCAATTGAAGTTCTTCAACAACATGATCAACAACATCGCAGCCCAACTTACTACGTCCGCCATAGATGGTATAAGGGAAACTTTATTAATTCAAAAGTTTACACTACAGGTTTACATGAAAACCACATAAGACAGACAATTATCCGTCACAAAGTGTTATGAACAATGACATCCCAAATACAGCCATCAGCACAAAGAGCTCTGGAACTTCAATATTAACTATAATTATAAGCAACGCAGTAAATCTGGCATGATTAGCAAAAGCCCAGTTTTAGTGAATTTTAGTCCACAAAACAAAGACGTATACTAAGAAAGAAAACCAGTACAGCAACAGAATACCTACTTGCTTAAAAGGCTCAAATGCACAAAATTGGCCTGCAACTCTTTCACCTGATCAAAGAATAAGTGGATCAATACGTTAACAAAGAAAAAAGCATCTGAAGTCAGATGTTCCACGTACCTCAAGTCTCTTCTCCCAATCTCCACCATACATGTTACTTAAGATTGGGCCAACCTTAACAACAAACTGAGGAAGCTCTTTGAAGAAATCTACAAGACTGGTAAAAGAAAATAGAAACAATCACATCCTGAACAGCAAAATCGGTCCACTTATAAAAACGGATAATCAATATCATAGGAAGACGATGTACTTCAACTTCACTGCTTTTAGTATCTGACACAAAGTAACTCCACTCTGATTACCAACTTCATTCTTATCTCTTGTAGTTCCCTCACCCAGTCTCTTACTGGTGTAGAGAACAAAGGCAAACATATATCTCTCCAATTCCTCAGGCTGAAATCAGAGATGTGCAGGAACATAAGAAATTGAAAGTAAACATGAATAACCAACAACTATCATGATAAACTACGTTACTTGGACTCTTCAAATCACCTTAGTACTCGAGTACAATCCTAGACAATCTGACAAGGAGCTGGACACTTCCATAGTCCATTTCGGGTCATATCAAGATATATGACAGTACCCGAGTCCAAGTAACATAGCTTATAAAGCCTACTCGAGATGGAAAAAGTACCGTTGTGCTTCCGATAGGCGACACATTATTCAACAAAATACTTTTGCTATCAGTAAACAATTTCACTGCGTCTGAAAACCTCTTTTCATCCAACGAAAATTTGTTCTGCGAATAAGTTTAAATTACATAGTTAAACCCCAAATCCTGTAACAAACTAGGCAGAATTTGAACGAAAAAATTTGGAAAAAAAAAATGTTTTACAAAAAGGGTTCTCATTTCACTAAATATTTAGCATTCAACAAAATATATGAAATTTCTCAAGATTCAATAAAATTAAACAAGAATAAACACAAATACCTTGCAAAGGTCGGTGAATCGAGCTTCAATTTCACCATTGTTATCACTATTCAAATTAGCAGAGCTTGATTCCTCCATTTTCACAGCAGAATGATTCATGTATTTCTGACCAAAACCCAAACCAAAATCACCCAAAAATATAAAATCTTAAATTTATTCACAAATTCAACAAAACTAACAACAATAACCAATAAAATGATAAACAAAAACAAAGGCTACAATTTTGTATGAAACTTACCACACTATTATAAAATGAGTCTCGAACAAAGCCTTGGATCGAAAAAATTGCAAAATCGAGAACAGGGTATTGAAGGTTAAACAAAGCTTTAAAGATTATCAATGGAGTTTTCGGCGAAGAGGGTGTTGAAGGGTCACTGGAGATTTTGTAGGTCGGCGATGTATTCGGCGGTTGGAAAAGAGAAAGGAGAGAAATTGGAGAAGATGAACAGCATTTGGTGAACTGAGCTTGGCGGGTAATTGTATTGTTTAGCCTAATACTCTGCACACATAACAATAATTTTTAGCACGGACTACGATGTACTAGTTTTAGATTTACGCTAAGTATTGGTAAAGGGGTTAATTAGGGTGTTCAAGTCGGGTTCGCTGAGGTCGGATCAAGCGATTCAAGTTGGGTGCATTTTAAACTTGAGTCATTCTAATTGTGTCAATGCGAGTCAAAATTTATATGGGTATTTTTCGGGTTGGTTTCAAGTCGGGTCAGTTGGGTCAAATTTTGACTTATGTAAGGGTTTGCTCTGATTTACTGAACTGATATGAGTTGATCTGAATTTAACTGAACTTAACAAAACAAAACTGAACTGAACTGAATTGTTTATAAGAGAAGGAAAGTGGGAACTGAACTGAATTGAACTGGACGAAACTGAACTGAATTGAACTAAACGAAACTAAACTAAATTAAACTGAAATTAAGCCGAAGAGAATAGATCTTAAGTATTGGTACATATTTATTTGATAAGAGAACAATCGAACAAGCCCTTACATATTAATTTGACATATCTAAGGGCTTATTCTGATTTACTGAACTAAGCTGAACTGAACTTAACAAAAATGAACTGAACTGAATTGTTTATGAGAGAAGGAAAATAGGAATTGAACTAAACTAAACTGAACTGAGTTCAACTGAATTGAACTAAACTGAAATTAAGCTTAAGAGAACAGGTCCTAAGGTACATATTTGTTTGATAAGAACCAATATAATTATACTAATGTGGTATGTAAGTGTTTCGGGCTGAATCCCTCGGGATACTGGTCACGCCTGAGCTAACAGCAAGACTTTTTTTTTTTTTGACAAATGATAAAAGGGATCACTCCCCAGCACACAAACAAGCACACACACTAAAACAATGGAAATTTGGTAAAAAGCTCCTGAGCCTTGCAATCTTGTCTCGGATGTGGTAGTATTCTGCTCGCAAGTCCTGCAGCCAAGTGCCCACTCTAGCATCTAAAAAAACAAACCTGTAAATGCCACAATCTTCTTTCCAAAGCAACTGTAACCCCTTTTAGGATGGCTTCCACCATAGCGCTGCTTCTATCACTCTGCCAGCTTCTTCACCTAGATGAATGTTGCCATCAGATGCAGTGATCCTCCATTTCCATTTAGATCTGTTACTGCAGTTAATTGTTGCAATCTCAAGAATCGAGGGGTGCATTCACTGTTTCCTGCAATCAGAGTTGTAATCTCCCTGTGCTGCTGCATACTCGTGCTTCCAATTCCAAATTCAAAACCTGGTGGCCTATCATCAATTGGTTCTGTTGTATTTTCTTCCTTCTCTTTACCGTTGTTCCTCCTTTGAGACATTACCTTCTGCTCCATATGTTTGATAGTGGTCCAAGCATTTTTCCTATTATTCTTAAAAACCAAGTTGTTTCGTGCCTCCCAAATGCTCTCTAAACCACTAAGGAAAAGAGAGTAACTCTCATCCAAACGTCGAAGCTTGTCACATAATAATCCTTGCCAATTAAAAATCCAATTTGCAATCGGGATGTTTGACTGATGTTCAGTATTTATCCCTAGATTACATCCCCTCCACACATGGCTAGCAAAGGAGCAGTCACGAAAGAGATGTTCTAAGCTTTCCAATTGTCCCTTCTCATCTGCATCTCCTTTGAAGCAAAGAAGGCAGTGATGATTTTCACCCAGGCCTCTTTCCTCTCACTTCCCACTGGTAGAGCACCTTTGCAGATTTTCCAAAGTAAAGCCTTATGCTTTGGGCTTCCTGGGGTTTTCCAAAACTTCTTCCAATTTACCTGGTTAGTTGGAAATTGCTTGTTTCGAGTGTCGCAAATCTGCTGTTGACTATCAAAAATGAATTTATACCCACTTCTGACAGAGTATATACCACTCCTATCCCCTCTCCAAATAATTATGTCATCAAAACCTTTTTCCATGGGTACAATCTTTCTTATTTTGCTGACAGTGTCACCATCGAACATTGAGTTACAAACTGCCATATCCCACTCACCATTATCTGACAAAAGAGAAGCAACACTATCATTATTTGGGACAAAAGTAGCCATTCCACATAGGCCTCTTCCCATTAATCCAGGGGTGGTGAATTTTTGCCAAGCACCCATCCTCAATAGACCACGAGCAGCCCTTGTTAAGCACCTTTAATCCCCATTTAATCCCTTTCCAACCCCAAAAACTTGCTTTCCTATCACACCAACTATTATTAAAGAGAGAAGCCTTATCAATCCTATATTTAGCCCGAAAAACCTTGCTAATCAAAGAATCCGTGTCCATAATGATACGCCATCCTTGTTTTGCAAGTAATGCTTGGTTAAAAGATCTTGTGTCAAGGATACCGAGTCCACCATCTTCTTTAGCTGTTGTGAGACGCTTCCAACTCTTCCAATAAACCCCTTTGCCATTCTTCCTACCAAGCCACCAAAACTTAGCTATAATACTGATAATTTTCTTGAGTATTCCAACGGGGAATTTGAAGATAGACAACACATAAGTCCCCAAGCTGGAAAGAACCGACTTAATGAGGGTTAGCCTCTCTGCATGTGAAAGAAACATAGAGTTCCAAGCATTTAACCGTACCTTCACTCTATCCACCATAAAACCGAAAATTTCATTTTTTGTGGTGCCAAAGTCAGCCGGAATACCCAAGTAGACCCCAAAATTACTACTCTTGTCAATTTCCAGAATTTCACTAAATCTATTGACATCCTCCTCCTTCGAATTAGGACTGGCCAGGAGGGTAGATTTACCTTGATTAATCACCTGGCCCGAGGCCCTACAATATGTATCCAGTATATGCTTAAAAGCAATCACACTACTTTCCTTTCCTTGGATGAAAAAAGCCGAGTCATCTGCAAAAAACAAATGGCTAATCTTGGGAGCCTTTTGAGCCACACTAAGCCCAACAATCTCCCTACACTTTCTCCACATCTGATCATACCCGATAATCCTTCCATACACAAAATGAAGAGATAGGGAGACAAGGGGTCCCCTTGCTTAAGGCCACACCTCGATCTAAAAGGCTTTTGAGCACTGCCATTAATCAACACCGAGAAGGAGACAGAGCTTACGCAATTCATAATAGTTTTAATCATTAAATCAGGCAACACAAATTTGCTCAAAACTTGCTCTAAGAAGTCCCACTTAATCCTATCATACGCTTTTCTCATGTTAGTTTTTATTGCAATTTTTCCTTTAGCACCTTTCCTAGTCCTTCTTTTGTTTTCTAGAATCTCATGAGCAAGCAATATATTATTTGAGATAGCTCTGCCAGGAATGAAAGCATTTTAAAATTGACTGACTAGGTCATTAATAACCCTCCTAAGCCTGTTTGTAATACACTTAGAAATAATCTTGTAAATAACATTGCACAATCCAATAGGTCTAAGTTTATCCATGGACTCGGGGTTATCACATTTTGGAATTAGCGCAATGTTGGTGAAATTAAACTATTTTAGGATGTTACCTGAATATAAGGCCGATTGCACTGCTTCAATTACATCATCCTGGATCCAATTCCAGTTTTTTTGATAAAAACCAGCAGGAACTCCATCCGGCCCGGGAGCTTTCCATGGGCTCATAGCAAAAAGGGTGTTCTTTATCTCTCGTCTTGAATAAGGTTTTGAGAGCAAATCTTTCTGATCTTCAGTGAGTTTAGCCGTAATCCCCCTGGTAACTTGTGCAATTTCATCCTTTCTAATTGTATCATTGACCTGACCATCCAAACCGTAGAGACTCTGAAAATATTTATTTGCAATTTCTGCAATTTTATCCTCATCCGTGATCCAATTGCTATTATCATCTTTAATTGCCTCTAATTTGTTTCTAGCTTTCCTTCCTTTGACAAAATTGAAGAAGAACCTTGAACAAGTATCACCCGCGTAGTTCCAATTAATCTTTGCTCTTTGTCTCCAGTAAGCTGCCATATTTTTTGAATATTCTCCCAATTGCTTACTTATTCTTATGAACTCCTCTGCATTGCCATCATCTTCCAAAGCTAATTGCGTTTCAAGTAAATCTGAATCAAATTTGTCCCACTCACCATTCCATTCCTTTCTCTTGTCAAGAGTCCAACTTTTGATGCCCTTCTTTGTGAATTGGATTTTCCGTGCTAGCTTATACATTGAGGAGCCCCTTTGAGCTTTACCCCATATCTCACGCGCCACCTCAAGGCACTCCGGATAATTAAGGCTCCACCTTTCCAATTTGTAAACACTATTTCTTTTATTCCTTGTGGTTTGATGTGTTTGGAAAAAAATTGGGGCTTGATCAGAAATTTGGATAGGTTGATGCGTTATGGTCGAGTGAGGAAAGAGAGTTAACCACTTTGAGTTAGCATATCCCTTGTCGAGTCTTTCAAGTACTAGCTCCTCACCCTCTCTGCCATTTGACCAAGTATACTTTGGACCATGAAAGGTCAAGTCATGAAAATCATTTAATTCCTTCCAATCAATAAACAGATTTGCACCCCTAATATATGAGCTGTTTTGCCCATTTTTGTCCAAAAGTGAGTCAACTTGATTAAAATCCCCCACAATAGCAATTGGTAAGTCAAGATTGGGATTAGTCCATTGACTTAGACAATCCCAAACCCCACCACGTTGAGACGTGCTAGGTTCTCCGTACACCAAAATCAATCTCCATTTTCCATTAATAACATCGTTGACTTTTACAACAAGGAAATTGATACAAGAAAAAACCACTTCAAAAAGTGACTTGGTTTTCCATCCAAACCAAAGACCACCACTAAGACCCCTAGAGTCAATACCCTTAAAATAATTAAAACCTAAGTTCCTTAGCCGATTAAAAACTAAATCCGAACTACTTTTAGTTTCCGATTAGAAAATGAAGTCTGGATCAAAAGACCCAACAAGCCTTTTAAGTTTTGGAATTAACGGTGTTGTTGGGCTTTTAATACCCCGACAATTCAAAACTAGTCCAATCATTGCGGAAGAGGTGGTTGAATGGGGTCAACACCGCAAGCCCATCACCTGCATAAGTTAACAAAATGCAAGCATCAAAATTGAAGATCGGACCTGGCCCAAGCCCAAGCTTAGAGGAGGAAGGGCTGACATCTGGGGGGTCCATCGTGAGCAAGACCTTTACCCTTCTTCTTCCTTCTAGTCAACAAGGAATCCGCGTCATCCTCGCAATCCTCTATAAATTGCACTGAAGCTAATTCCAGATCTGAGATTGCCTTTCTCTTTAAAGGACAATTTTCTGGTTTGAATTGTCTCTTCCCTTTTTCCTTCTTAAAACGCTTGCTCCTCACTTTTCTTCCCCTTCTATCTCTCTCACCCCACCTGGGGAATATAACCGCACCGTCAGACATGGTTTCAGTTGGAGGAATAGAATCCAAATCCCTGCTTCCAGAATTAACGATCTCCAATTTTTCAATTTAAGGGAGATCGGCTTGCTGTTGTAGATCGGGTTGAGCCTCCATACTGTTTTCCTCCAATTGATCTTCTTCATCCACGGAAATTTCAAATTCCCCAGCCCATGGATTCAGAGGGTCCTCAGGGATTTGACCCGCCGGAAACCCCTCTTCATCTTCCTCCCCTTGAAAATCCATCGGCTCGTACACCGGCGAATCCGGTTCCCTTATTTCCACTGCTCTCGGATTATTCTGATTGTCAAATTCCATGAAAAATCGCTGGTTGTAGCTGGAACTATCAATTCTTCTATCTACGATTTCATCATTCACCTCAACCCTCGATTGTATCGTCGATCCCATCAAGACATCATATCTAATTCGCTCTATCGCAGGCCCATATTGAGGCATTGTCTCAGTCAGATCTTCGCCAATTCCTTGTTGCTCACTCGTGTTCTGTCCCTGAACCTCCATAGCCGCAGCTCGATAGGGGTCTTCTTCCCCCAAATTTAATTGATTGACGCCAGCATCAACACTCCCTGATCCATGATTACCTTCAGCATTTAAATCCGAGTTGAGACCACCACCTCCTCCTTCCACTTCCATGGCAGCCGCTACATTTTGACCAGCATTTTGCGCCGGTGGTGGCTCCAGACCACCCACCGCTCCTTGAACCACCGCTTGGCCAACTACCGGACCTCTGAAAGGCGCGCCCATGCTATTAAATTGCTGCCCTGGTTGAACTGTTCGCCCACCATTTTGAATTCCAAGGTCAAAGTCCACCAAGATATCAAATGCTCTGAAGCTTGGTGAGGGCGGCCTTTCCGGTTCATCCACTAGCCGCACCCTCGTGGTAATGGTGCGTTCCGACGAGGGGGTAGCTCTCAAGTCCAATGTGAACATTGAAAAACCCTCCTCTGTTTCCACTGTTGGAATACCCCTAGAAAGGTACTCCATCATCTTGTGATCTATGTCACTTTTGATGAGATCCTCGTGCCTCGTGCACCTTGTATACTTATGTCCAATTCTGCCACATCTTGTGCAGTATTTTGAACAAGTTTTTGTATCTTAGTTGTATCCATATGTTGGCATCGTCATCAAGTTTCAGAAAAAAAAACCGGGATTAATGGCTCTCCCAGATTGATCATCACATTAATTCGTAGATAATCATTTCTCGGCACGAAGTTAGGCTCCCAATCTACCACGTACGACATTCCTAGCATTTCACCAATAGTTTCCGCCATGTGAGAGTTGAGATACTCACACGGTAGACCGCAGATTCTAATCCACAACTTTGCCCTTCGAAATCGCACCGTTTGAGGTACTTGGTTAGGCCACCATGGTGAGAATACCATAAGCGCCCCATCGAAGCAAGACTTGGTCATGTCGAGCATTTCTCTCTTATCCTCATCATTAGAACACTTAAAGACATAGAGATCATTCATCTTGAAGACCTCAATTTGCCATCTCTTTCTCCATCTAGAGTTGATGAAGTTGTGAATGGAGTGTACGCTTAGGCTACGGTAGTCCACTAAGTAGCCATAAACACATTGCTGCCAATATGCTCTACTTCCTTGCACTCTGTAAGATTCAATTTCAGCCAAAGGGGCTGCTCTATTTATGTTGTTATTATTGTTTGGTTGAGAATTCATCTTGAAAGTAGTAAAGGGAAAGAAAAGAGGAGAAAAGGAAAGAAAATGTGTGGAGAAGGCGATGAGAAACGACTGTGAAGTGGTTGTGGATTAGCTGATTATTTATACACGCCACCATTACTTGGAGGCGATTCAAATCCCCGTCTCGGAGAAGGCAAAAGGAGGCATGCAGATTAGCCTTGATTGCAACAAAATTCACTGCCGTAATTTAATTAATGTTCCGTAAAACGAAACAGTCAAACCTAAATTATGTCTAAAATTATCTCTGTTACTAACAGGGGGGACCAAGGGGAAAGGGAATAACGGCACCAAACTGTAGTTAAATGGTAGTAACACTGTTAACAATACAATGATTACTCTAATCAAAAGGTATTGGCCTTTAAGGATGGCACCAAAGGAGAGAAGACAGGTGGCATTCCAGGGTTGAAAGAAGCCAAAAGCAAATTTGTAGGTTTATCTTGCTCATTAGGAGATAAAATATTTTGTGGTAAAAAAGATTCAGATAATTCGGTGGCTGCCTCCCCTAGGAACAACCTTGTGAAAGAAACTCTATTTCTAGAGTGAGAAACTCTCTGCTAGAGAGAGAAAATCTAAAGTTTTTGAAATTTTAAGACGCTGCTAACAGCAAGACTCGAACACCTACAAAACACGAATATTCAGGGACGGAATATTTGCCGCCTCTGACGATTAAGTTAGTAACCGGAAATTGGAAAAGCTAAATAGAGAAAATAGAGAGAAGTTGAAGCTATTTAATTCTCTATTAAATGTTATGTCACAATCCACCCCTCCCATCAACAATGATTGTGGTACTTATAGGGGTAGGGAATTGTGCCCCTTAGGGTAAGTGTGGACACCTAAAAATGTCTCCCCAAAACCAAACCCGATGATGAACAACCTTTTACTGCCATTGTTGGTCGGGTTGAGTAATTAATCTTTAGAGTGCTTAAATCCATATTCCCAATAAATTTCATAAACCAACCCAATTCGTAGCCCATTTCCCCAAACCATAACTTATTTTCCTCTTTTCGTTCTTTAAACCCAAAATAATTCATTTCATGTCCTTCAAAATCATTCATTTCGTGTCCTTTTTATAAAAATGTTTAGTCCAGATTATTTTGGTCCATATTCTAGGTTCAATGATTGAATAGTTGGATGGAGCTTGAAAAGTACAAATTCTTACATAGACCCTGGTCCTATGTAGACCAGTCATTAAACGCACTCTTCTTTATAAGATCCCTCTTCCCTACTTAATCTGATTTTTTTTACTTCTTTTTCGATCATAATTTAGATCCACAACATTGTCTAGATCAATGAAATCATCAACATTATCTCTTATTTTTCTTTTTTTTTTCTCCTTAATTTCACTCTTCTGAACTTCCTCCCTCTTCTTTTGAACATTTTCTTGCTTCTTTTGAACCTTCTTCTTTTGAGACTCTTTCTTAGCCTTCTTTTGAGCTTCCTTTTTAGCTTGATTCTCAATCTCTTTTTGAGTTTCCTTTTTAGCTTGATTCTCATCCTCCTTTTGAGCTTGATTCTCAGCTTCTTGGATTGGTGTTGCTTGGTGGATTTGGGTTGAAGTTCAGATTGGTTGCTGTAATAAAACAAATGCTTCTTGGATTAAAAAATAACAATATCAAAATTTGAACAGGAATCACAAATTATATGAACTAAAACCATAAAACATTTGAACAATGATAACAAATTATATGAATAAAACCACAAAATATTTGAACATTAATCACAAATTATATGAACTAGAACTACAATATATTTGAACAGTAATCACGAATTATATGAACTAAAAACACAAAATATTTGAACTCATAAAATAAATGCTTCTTAGTTTAAAAAAATAACAATATCAATTTTTGAATAGTAATCACGAAATATATGAACTAAAACCACAAAATATTTGAACGGTAATCACAGATTATATGAACTAAAACCACAAATCATTTGAACAACAATTACGAATTATATGAACTAAAAACACAAAATATTTGAACCTATGATTTACCTGGTTTCTCCATTTTTTGAATGTTGCTTGTATATCTCTTTTAAAATCTGTGGATCAACAATTTGACTTGTTATATCCAATTTCTTCTTCCTTTTGTTTCGGATTTGAGAAATTGTACTATTCAAATAACTTAGGGTTTCAATTCATCATTTAATTTCAAAATTCAACAATTATATAGGCTTTTAATTTACTTACAATTTATCTTCATCACTAATAGAAGAATTTGGGTCCCTAAAATTGTGAAAATTGTTCAGAAATTATACACAATTTACAAAAACTATGAATGAAATTTTAACAAATTATAACAACTACGAACAAGTAATTGCAAATTCAAAGAAATTTAAAGAAAGTATAGGTTCAGAAATTTTATTTACCTTTCTGCATTGGTTTCTTGATTTTCATCCATGGCTATGCTCGAATTTGCAGAGGAGAGAGAAACGAGAATTTTTAAGCCTTTAAAAGAGTGAATGTTCATATTTAATGTTATGTCAGTTTTGTTGGAGTGGAAAGAAAGAAACGAGAGTTTGGGCCGCGTTATTTGTAGTGTGTTTGTGCTGGTGGATTGTATTTAGGCTGACGGTCCACCTATTTTAGATGGACTAGGGTCTTCCATAGACCTATTGCTTGAAAAGAGCTTTTCAACGATATATTATAAGCCCAAATCCGAGTTATAACGAATAAGTTATGGCCAAAATACTAAATTGAGTCCAAACCGAACCTAAGCCCACCTTACCTACGACCCAATGATCATATGAAGGGTCCAAATTATTTAATCCCATTCCTAAACCAATTAGGGTTAATTGGAAGATTCTATAAGTTTCTAAAAGATCTTAGTTATTCCTTTTGAAAAGATAAGATTAAAGAGTTTGAAATTGAATAAAACTTTTCTTTTTAAAATTCCTAATTCTATTCGAATTGAAAGACATTCAAAGATAGTCAGATATGATTTTTGTGCCTCATAGTTTTTAATCCAAATTTTATATGGTTAGATAGCCCTTGAAATTATCTTTTCCAATGATATATTATAATATCAATTTCGAGCTATAACGGAAAAGATATGAATAAAATATCAAACTCTATCCAAAACTGACACCGTCTCACTATTTCGGCCATATCTTTTATTCTACAAAATATTTTAATCTGATTCCAATTGGGTTAGAAAGTAAACTATACACAGAGACTTGCAATCTCATCATCTGTCGACTTTCCTCAAGCATGGAAAGTATTATCCGGTGGATTTCTTCAAGCATAGAAACCTGCCAAAATCATCTGTCGACTTTCCTCAAGCATGG